ATCTCTTATAATTGATATGAATATTTGATGTAGTAGGTTCCCCCTCTCTCCCTCCTGAGAAGGTCTTACTAATGAGATGATGCTTCTCACTATCTGAGACTTGAGAAAATGCCATATGTGTGTAGAGAAAAGACTGGAGGAATAGACACCAAAACATGAACAGTGCTTGGCCCTTTAAAAAAGCCTTGGATGTAAATTTTTATTTTCTTCTCTGTAAGTGTAGTTTCCAAGTTTTCTATAGTAAATGCATAGATAAACACACAAAGAAGCCAGGAGCCTAGATACCCTTATTTCCAAGGATAAGGATATTTGGTACTTTTAGCCTTTATCAAAATAAGAGACTAGCAAATTTGGCACCACATAAGCCATCTTAGTAGTGCCAGGGTCTACAGTGGGAGAGGAGTAAAGCACAGGCCCATGGAGGGGTGCCTGGCTGGACAGGAGCAGGTAAGGCAAGCTGGAGAACAGATGGCAGAGTTCAGTCAGCAGGAGCTGAACTCTTGGATCAGTCTCAGTTCCGTGTGGACAAGGAAATCCCTGTGAGGTATGAGAGGGTCCAGATGGTAGGGATGCTGACTAAGTATGGAGAAGGGCACTTCGATAGTTTCCAATCTAGCTCAGGAGCATGTTCCAAGTTCCTCAACAGAGACCAAGGACTGTGTGAAACAGAAAATGAGCCTGACTATTTAAGATTTTAAAACATATTTACTCTTCAGCCAAACAGGTAGCAGTGGAACAGAGATGGAGAACTGATGGCCACAGCAGAATGTTCCTAGCCCTGGAGGAGACCAGCAGGCTCTGGGATGCTGCTTGGGTAAGGAAGGGACACAGGCTTGAGTGACTGTGGCTGGGGCACAGAGAAAAGTGACAGGTACAGCTTTTCCCACGTGATCATGTCCAACCCTCCATAGTTCTAAGATGAGTAACCTGAGGCCCAGAGAGGCTATGTGGTTTGCCCTAAAGCACACAGCCAGTAAGTGGTGGAGTGGGATTCTCATCTCACTGAAGTTGTTCTCCAAAAAGGGACCACCACTGAAGAAAGTTATACTAATACAGATTTATCATAATGGTAGGTGGAAAAAGCAAGTTTCTAAAAAAATCTTCAATCTGATCCCAACACTTAAAAACAATATGTATAGTATAGAAAAAAATTGCAAGGATATACAACTTAATGATGGTTGTATCTCAATGGCAAGAACTTCTAAATGTATTTTCTATTTTTTAATTTTCCCTGCACAGTGAGCAAGTAATTTTTTTTTTTCAGGCCATGTAGGGGAAAGTAACTGACAGCAAGTAAATCTTTTTAAAGCAGGAAAATAATTTTTTTTTTCAGAAGCAGTTGAGGACTAGTGGATCAAAGTAATGAGAAGGAATTACAGTGAGCCCTTAATGACAGAGAAATCTAGCTTCTTAGTAGTTATGCGAATTTCAGCAAACCTACTTGGTTTGGCTGAGTCTGTTTCCTAAACACTAAAAAAAGGTGGATTATTCGTCCTGTCCTGGGGAGCTGTTGCTAGGTTTACCTGAGAAGCAGTGTACACAAAAGTCCCATGCACAGTACTTGGCGTAAGGATGGTGCTTAATAAATATTAGACCTGACTCTTGGTAGTCATAGTTTTCCTTGCCGCCCCAGGAAGGCCTAGCACCTCCAGCTGGTTCAGATAGCAGAAAGGAACCGGGGCAGGTGCCCGTTACTGGGCCTAGAGCTTCCTGTACGACTGACACATTCCCCTCCTCTGTTTTGGCCATGTGAAGACTAACAGAATCTCCTCCTTTAACCCATTTTCACCTATTTGCCTCTCCCTCTCCCCTTGTCTCAATAACCTCAGCTGCCTAAATAGCATTCTTTTAGTACACGTGACTTTATTTTCAACATAACACACATTTGCAAAGCATCTACTATATTCTAAAGATGGACCCAAGGTCCTCCTCTCTATTCCTATCATGCAGAAATACTTGTCTGAGTTGTAATTGAGAAGTTAGATCCTTCAACAACTACCATTATTTGCCAAACTGCAATTATAGAGGCACACACAGTAAGTTGTAGAAACTCCAAGGAGGGGAAGAGCTATGTTCTTACCAGTGTATGTACACATGTATGGAAGAGGATGGGAAGAATGGAAGTGTTTAATGATTTCCTCACCCTATATTATACATCAGCTTCATATACTGTCATTACTAAAATGTGCCCATTCTGTTAAGCTGGTTTCAGAGCCAGTTAAATCAATGACCAAGTAGAGCTGTTTCCTCTCATCTTCAGTTATTAAAGTCTGTCCACAGCCACAAAGTTTGTGGGGAAGGCTTAGGTCAGCTGATCTGACAAGTAACATGCTGTTGCCGAGGTAGGTGGGTAGGGTACAGGTCCAAGGAATTACAAACTGGCTCAGAGTGTTCTGCTCAGACATTTTAGAGCTTTTTGGAATACATAGCCATTGTGATTAACAGGCAGTTTTAAGACTCAAGGGGTGCCAAAATCTGGCATTATTTGATATTTTTATTACTTACTAGTCAAACGTTAACATCGATGCAAGTAAAAAGAAATTCATTCATAGTTTGGTCCAACTGTTTTTACATTTCCTTATTCTCTTCCAGCCCTTGTTGAAATCCATAAATCCATGGACATGATAACTGCAGATTAGATACAACTGAATATTCTACCTCTTTCTCACACACAGATACATACACAGAGTAATGTTAAGTGCAGCAATATTCAAAACCCAGGCCCTGTGACAACAGCCCCTTCAGGCCTGTAGACTGACAGTCCTGTAGAAAATGTTGGCAGGGCAATGAGACACACCCTGTTCTGCCTGTGTTATTTATGCCTCTGGCAGTGAAGCCCCTGACAAAGAAGCATGTCACTGGAACACATGCTCTTTGTTCACAGAGGTGCATGCCAGCACCGGCTGCCTAAGAAAGGACAGTGCTGTGTCTGTAGTCTCTCCTCCTTTGGCTCTTTTGCCTTCTATTTGCAGCACATTGTGGCTATGTTTATTAATTACTTTGTAGCTTAATACTATAAAACACACATCTATCTTGTGAGCTATGTACCATGGGGAAAGTCCTTCATATCCTCCAGTTGGCCATAGAGGACAGAGTCTCAAGATTTGCCCTGATGCTAAGGATTAATACAACCTCCTCTAGGAGCCGCCAGGTTACCAATCTCTAGCACAGAGCTACCACATTTAAGATTCCTTCAGCACCCTCCACTGCTTTTCCTGCAAGAGGACACCTGGATGCTGTTTAGTATGAAAATCCCTCTGCAACTGTTCCCAACCTAGGGCACCAAAGCAGCCCCCCACCATGCTATGACTCCACTCTAGCCAGACTGATGATGTAGCAGAAAATGGTGGGCTGTGGAGTCAGACCCATCTGGGTCTAAATTCTACTCGCTTCTTGCTGGACATGCAGCTTAAGGTTCCTGAGCCTAAACTCCTCATCTGTAAAATGATCAAATTATCACCTACTTAAGAAAGTTGTCTGAGAATTAGAGAAATAATATCAAGCCCCTTGGCTGGGCGTGGTGGCTCACGCCTGTAATCCAAGCACTTTGGAGGCCAAGGCGGGCGGATCACCTGAAGTCGGGAGTTCAAGACCAGCCTGACCAACATGGTGAAACCCCGTAATAAAAAAAAAAAAAAAAAAAAAAAAAAAAAGGCCCTTGAAGCAGATGCTCAATAATCGCTTGTTGGCTCATGAACCCGATTTGGTAGTTTTTGTAAAAGCCCTCACTGCATAGCCCTGTGGTTCTCATAACCTTAGGTACAGACCTCTTGTAATGTCTTGAGAACATCTATCTCCATTTTCCCTTGTCATAAAGACTTTTGCTGAGACAACAGGAGTCAGGAACTACTAGAAAGTTTTTCTTTTCCCATTCTTTCTAAAACTTTCATCTTCAAAGGTTACTCAGTATTTTAAAAACTGATATATAATTGGCTTGCAACCAAGTTTGGGTTCTTTGCCACTAAATAAACTTAGGTAAAATAGAAAGGGGGCACTTTCTTAACTTCCATACAACTTTATGCTGATGTATAGAATTTCATTTTTCTCTTTTAAATTCTTAGTTTTTGGTGCTTCTTGTCAGTACAATCTTCTCAGATTGTATTTGATTTCACATTATGTATTTACTTATTTTACGATGAATATAACGTTACTCCTCGGTGGTCTGCAAAGCACAGTCACCCAGAACTGGTGCTCTAACCCCTGGGACCCTCTGAGCCAGCCCATGACAAAGGCTGCCTGCCAGGTTTCAACGAAATTTAGACCACCAAGAATTTACACACCTCACAGGGGTGCCCTAAGGAATAAATGAGATAAAAAGTCTGCCGGGGTGAGGGAACCCTGAGGCCCTATTAGAAATGCTAATTGTTTCCTTCTCTAGCTTCCTATTAAAATGTTAGAAAACCAAGAGACTGACTCCCCTGAGGGGGTGGGGATGCTCGGCCGCTCTGTGGCTTAGCAAGCGGCCACAGCTGCCCTACTAGGGGCAGCCGACCGCGATTCCGTCCCGACGGAGGTGGCGGGGGTGGGGGGGGGCGGTTCCTCAGCGGCACTCTGGACGCCACTCTGCCAAGGAGGCAGCGGGGTTCGCCTGTTGGCCCCAGACTGTGTGGACGGCAAAAGGTGAACCTCAAAGCCTCTCTGTCCTGGGCTTCACATCTCGCGCCTCCGCGGGCGTCGGACCAGCCCCATGAACCTCCGCAGACGGACGGGGCTTTAGGGATCCCCGAAGCCGGACTGCAAGGCCTCTCGCCAGCCCTTGCCGCTCACCTCCCGGCCGGAGCCACAGACTCAGCTCCGGGGGTGGCAAGGTGAGGCCCGGGTGTAAAGAGAGTCTCAGCTCGGCTGGGGGCGGGGAAACCCCCCAGAAGGTCTTACATCAGCCGCCCCACGTGCAATCGGAGGGAGGGAGGGAGGAAGTCACTCCTTTCCCCAGGCTGGCTGCGCTTTTCCCCCAGCCTCCGCCCCGCCCGCCGCGCGTCTCCCCGCCCCGTCTTTGGTGCAGTCGCGGCCGCCGAGCCGAGCGGCGCCGCGCGGTGCCGAGTGGAGCCGAGCAGCTGCCGCGCCGCGTCGCCGGTTTAAACGCAGTGCGGGCCGCGGCCGGGGGCGGCAGTAGTGAGCCCAGTGCTGCGCTCCAGCCCCCTTTCCCTCCATGGTTTCTCTCCGCTCCCGTGAGTAACTTGGCTCCGGGGGCTCTGCTCGCCTGCCCGCACGCAGCCAGCCGCCCGGGACCGCGCAGCCGGCCTCCGCCGCGAGCAAACCCTTCCGACGGCCCTCGCTGCGCAGGCCGGGACGCCTCTCCCCCCTCCGCCCCCGCCGCGGAAAGTTAAGTTTGAAGAGGGGGGAAGAGGGGAACATGGACATGAAGAGGAGGATCCACCTGGAACTGAGGAACCGGACCCCGGCAGCAGTAAGCAGAGCCCCCTCCGGGCGCCCTCTCCCCCGATGACTTGCATGTAATGGTGGCCACCTGCGGGGCCCGGGCCGAGGGTTCGCCGGCCCCGGCGCGGGGAAGAGCGCAGCTCGTGTGCTCGGACAGGGAAGGCGGGCGGGCGGGCGCGGAGGGGGGAGCGAACGCGCGGGGATTAACTCTTTGCCGCCCGCGGGCCCCCGGGGCGGCCGGGAGAAGGCAGCGGTGTGGGGGAAACCAAACTTTGCGCGCCTCGCCCGCCGGGGTCTTTCCCTGGGGGGAGCGCGTGTGCGGGTGGCCGGCGGCGAGGGAGGGAGGCGGGGGTTGTGTAACGCTGGGAGCCATGTTTGCAGCCTCCCGGGATGCGCGACCGGGCGGAGGCCGGGCCTGCCGAGGAGCTGCGAGGCCAGCCCCGCCTGGGCCAGGCCGGGTTCCGCGCGCCCCAGGCCGGCTGGGGAAGGGGCGCGGGTGGGGCGGGGCGGGGGCTCCTCTGGCCGAGGCTCGCAGTGGGCGCCCGCCCAGCCGAGGACAGCGGCCGTGGGGCGAGGAGGGGGCTTTTTTTCCTTTGAAGGGAGCGAGAAGCCCCCTCAGGCGCCTGGGGGCCTGGGCGGGCGCGGCCTGGCGCGCAGAGCGGGGGAGGGGCGGGCCCAGGCGGCGGAGGTGGCGCAACCGCCGCCCCTCCCGAGGCCAAGTTTGAAAAAAGAACGCGGTTCCCGCCATTTTTCAAGCCTAAAAATAAAACTTTCTCCCCTGTTTCCCTCGCTCCCTCTTCGTCTTCTGCCTTGACCACTCCGGCCTCCCAGGGGCAGCCCAGGTCGGCCGGGGCCAACTGTTGTGGCGACGGCTTCGCCCTTCCCCCGCGCCGCGGCGACGGAGCCCAGGGCCCCTACCCCTGCCCCGGGAGGCTGGCCCCTCGGTGTGGGCGGGATGTGGCTCCTCACGCCAGCCGGGGCGCGCCACAGGCCGCCGCAGCGCCATGTTGGCGGGTGCCCGTCTCCCTCCGCCGGGTGAGCGGGCCCACAAGCTCGGCCTTGCCCGCCCGCCCTCGACGCTGGCTGTGTCGGCTGCCTCTTCCCGCGCCAAGCTCTCGGTCTGTGTCCCCCAGCCCCGCCGGGGCTTGTGGCTCGCACTGGCGGGAGCCGCGTACCGCGGCAGCCGCCGACTCATCCCCTCGTGGGCGCGCTGCCGACCCCCTCCCCCTTCTTAAAAGGGCAACGGCAAGCGGCCGTTCTCGCGCCGGGCCGGGAGCGCTGGATTTCGGGCGGGCCTCTGCTGGGCTCGGCTCCTGGACTAGGCGGCCTCTGGCCTCCCACGTGCTCGAGAGCTGCCCGATGCGGCCGGCTGCGCGCCATCCGGGGTGTAGGGACTGGAGGCCCGCGCTAGTGCAGCGCGGCTGCGTGGGCGTGGGTCCGGCCTGTGGGAATCGCCCTTTTCGTCTCCCGGGTTTGGCGCGGCTGCCCGCCGCCGCGAGCTCCCCGGACCGGCGCGGGGCCAGTTAGTGCCGCGGCCGGGTGCCCCCGTGGGCGAATGGTTTTCCCGCCGAGGGCCTCCTGCCACGCTCCGGGCTAGCGAGCAGCCTGGTTTCGTGTCCTCAGGCGGTTGTGGTTAACCAGTCGCGAACTTATAGGAATTCGTCGACCAGGGTTTACCTGGTGTGCTCGACGTTTTATATCCTTGCTCCCTAGTCCTTGAGGTCACCAGTAACGCGGGGCGGACCGGGATCCACCGCACGGCACTGTTGCTCCCTGCGGGCCCGTGAGGGTGGGCGGCTCCGGGGATTCGGAGATGGAGGGTCGCGGGCGTTCTTCCGACCTTCCGTCAGACATTTTGTGCCCGCCACGTGCTTGCCTGTCGCATGGGCGCCCAGCTCACGCCGGAAAACTTGAGGAGAGGCGTTCTCACCTTGAGGTGTTCATTCGAGACTTTTCCATTGCGGCGTAATTGCAAATCCGTAGAATATGGAGTAGCTCAAATTAGCCAAAGTGGCCGCAAGAGAAGTACACATGTGGGGCTTCAGAAATGCTATAAAATCTAGAATTTGAATTTTTTGGGATATGTTCAAACTGAAGGTCTGTAAAATTCTGCAGAGTAGAGTTCCTTCTGGGAAATAACAGTTGATCTGCTGTTCTCCTTAGATGATGTTTTCATATGTGAAGGAATGTTGCTTTAAAAATTCATGTATATCTGCAGGTGTTTTTGTTTTTTGAGACTGAGTCTTGCTCTGTCATCCAGGCTGGAGTGCAGCGGCACGATCTCGACTCTCTGCCTCCCGGGTTCAAGTGATTCTCCTGCCTCACCTTCCCGAGTAGCATTTTTAGTAGAGACGGAGTTTTTCCTTGTTGGTCAGGCTGGTCTTGAACTCCCGGTCTGAGGTGATCCACCGGCCTCCACCTCCCAAAGTGCTGGGATTACAGGCGTGAGTGAGCCACTGCGCCTGACCGGGTGTTCATTATTGAGGTAATCAACTTCACCCTCTTGCCAGTCAGGCCAGAGCCATTTAATTCAGTTAAATTAAAAATTTTCTCGGTCATACCATCCACATTTCAAGTGCTCAAATGTGATAAGTGGCTCGTGGGTGGTGCGTTGGGCACCACTGGCCTGCAGAATCCACTGCTTTATTAAGGAAGCATTTGAAGCCTAAGAATCCATTGAGGTGGCGTAGTGCCTTTTGCACTTGGGAGTTTGTGAGGCCTTGACAGTGGGTTGCGGGAGCCTGCCGAGATTATGGGTGTAGAGGAAGGTTCTCTTAGGGACTCCAATGGGAGATTGAGACCAGTGGGAGCTAGGTACCCAATTGGGCGAATATAACTTGGACCTAAAACTGCAGGGTTTTCAGGAAAACATGCTGTATGTAGGTTTTGAAGTGAATTCTATAGGGTTTAAAGCGTGTTCTACAGAGACATCGTCCTAAAGGCAAACAAAAAGCTCCAAGATCACTCCTTTAAAAATCACACTCAGCTAGTCACATACCTTATTTGTGATGTGCTAAAACATACCATAAACACCACAGAAATTGGTGACATTTTCAGCTGCTGCACAGCGGGCTTGGCCTCTGCGATCCGGCAGATTTGTCATTTAGGGAAACATGAAGAAGCCATTCCCCAGTTGAAGGTAGTATGCTGTACTGTTGTAGTATGAATGGGATGCTCTGAAATAAATACACAGCAGTGTCCCATGGTTGACCCTAATGATTTTAAAGTCAAGTGAGATGTATGTTTGAAAAGGGTAAATGTGTTCTTTTGTTTAAGACTAGATTGTAAATGTGTTCTTTTGTTTAAGACTAGATCGGCTTTTATTGTGTATATGGATTTTTGTTTTTTAAATTGGAGTTTGAAGAAGACCCTAGTAACACTTTTATTCAGTTGGGCTCATGTATTCTGACAACGGAAGACAACAGGGTAAACACAAAAGTGTTACTAGGGCCTTCTAAAGTTCACCTATTACTATATCCCTATTCCTTATAAACAGAAGTATGCTCATTTCCCTAAGGGGTGAGGGATTACAGAATTTGATTTTTTTTTCTAAGTCCAAAACAGCGCTTATATCAGGGTGCATTCTCATAGTGGAAGAAAATGGTCTAAGATGGCATTTTAAAGTAATCTTCATGAAAAATGGTGGTTACCATTTAAAAACATTTTATAGACAAGGATAGGAGACATTTTGTATGACAAGGAAGTAATTTATATAAAATATTGTCAGTTCACTGAGAGTAAATTGAACCGTGCTGGAATATACCATATATACACCATGGAAATTGGAGGTCTTGTCAGTAAGATGAGAAGACACTGACATGGAGTAGCAAGATATAAACCACATTGAGTTGTATTCCAAAATTAGAAAAGAATACCTGATCTTTATGTGGGATTCTTATCCTTCCATTAAACTGAACATGTGCTCTGTTAGAAGCACCTCATTAACCACGCATCTGGGGACAATCAGCCTTCCTATCAGCTCTGAGTTTTTCATTCAAAGTTAGAAAGCCAAGCAGTTCCTTAATGTAGCTTGCAATCTATGCCCCTGTGAAATGCTGGTGTGCTGTATGCTGGAATGTGACATTTCATATACCAAAATAAAAGCAGTCTTAATGTAGTTCCAGTTTACTGGGGAAAAATGTAGATTGTCTTTAACTTTCATCTTTTTTGGATCTACACCCTCTCCCCAGATTTTGGCCTCTTTTGTTGTGTCTATCGTGATGTTTGAGCTGAATCAGATATTCTAATTGGTTGCATAGCAACTAATTGGGTTTTTTTTCCCTTGTATAAATAATACATATTTGTTGAAGAAAACTAGATATAGGTAGGTCAAAAATATTGTAGATGTAGATAAGCAAAAAAATAGACGTCATACATGCCTTACCTACCATCTAGACACTAGTGTATAGTCTACCAGAATGTTTAATTTTTGTCTAAACTTGGTTCATGCAAATAATCCGAATGCTAGCTTGTTTTTTTTTTTTTAAGAAAAAATACAGTGAACAGCCGGGCACGGTGGCTCACGCCTGTAATCCCAGCACTTTGGGAGGCCAAGGCGGGCGGATCACGAGGTCAAGAGATCGAGACCATCCTGGTCAACGTGGTGAAACCCCGTCTCTACTAAAAATACAAAAAATTAGCTGAGCATGGTGGTGCGTGCCTGTAATCCCAGGTACTCAGGAGGCTGAGGCAGGAGAATTGCCTGAACCCGGGAGGCGGAGGTTGCGGTGAGCCGAGATCGCGCCATTGCACTCCAGCCTGGGTAACAAGAGCGAAACTCCGTCTCAAAAAAAAAAAGAAAAAATACAGTGAACATCTTCATCTGTGTGTCTTTATTTTATGGACTTCTTAATGCCTGCATAGATCATAATTTAAACATCCAGGTTGTTCACAGGGATTTTGGGTGTTTTAAATACTGCTGAAATGAATATCTTATGATTCCCCCGCCCCCGCCCCCACCCCCACCAAATTGCTTCTCAGAATGGTTCCCTTCTTTACATAACCACTAGTAGGATATGGGTGTTTCCT